TCTCCTTCCCTTCCTTTCCCTCCTCTCTCTCTTTCATTTCCTTTCCTTCCCCTCTCCTCCTCTCCCTCTCCTTCCCTTCCTTTCCCTCCTCTCTCTCTTTCATTTCCTTTCCTTCCCCTCTCCTCCTCTCCCTCTCTCCCAGTGAAACCTACCTACCTTGCCACATCATCAAGATTACATGGAGAGTTGTGTTTTAAAAAAAAGTAATTATTGGAATAGCCTAAGGTGTGCCTCTCCTGTGCTGTTAGCCTCAGCTATGTACTGACAACTTCACTGCTTCTGAGTCTGCTTACTTAGAGGGGCACACTGTAAAATAACACTGGAGCAGAGCAGGAAGATCGGGCTCAGCGACAGAGGAGCAGCACACTGATGCCCTAGAACTCTGTCAGGACTCAAGCCTTAACCCATTCCCTGGGACAGGACTCTCATCTCAAGTGTGGGTGACTTTTTAGTTTGAGCCAGGGTCAAATTTTCAGTATACCATGAGGTACCATTGCAGGTAACAGCAAAATGTTGAGTGGCAGTACCAGTGTCTTGAATGTGGTAAATTCATGATACTACAGCAGCATTACCCAGACAACAAGCCCAGTCACAGCAGTCATCTCATATGCCACGGTGTATTAACACAGCTGGTACAGGCTTGATCAGGGATAACTTGTGTATATTGAGCATATATCTCACTAAAGCCATCTGTAGCAATAAGTCTAAACTTTCTTAAAAATGAAAATATTACCGCCTTGGTAGCCCAGACTGTTTTTGAACTAAGAAGCATGAGTTGAAAATTTGAGAATCTCCAACTTTCAGTGAAATGAAGATCCCATTTACTGTCTGTGATCACATTCACATTTATGCACCAGCAGCCTTGATTTGCTATTGGGATGGAAAGTAGTCGTGAGTCCAGTGTAACCAACCAGTTAAACTGTAAGCTAGCTTAATCTGGTGGCTACAGAGGTAGAAGCCAGGGAGGACTGCAGCAAGGAAAAGTTGTCAGTGATAGCTGGAGTATGACAGAAACAATTTGCACTCCAATTATTCCTAGTTGAAACAGTAGTTCAATTAAAGGTCTTACCAGTTAATTGCTAAGTAAAGGCATTCTTAATTACATAAGGTGCTGGACCAGAATCCTAAGTTTGGCAAATACATCTCTGCCCTGCTGTACTGTCTCTATTCCCTCACTGGCAGCACGTCTGGCCTATAAAGCACAAACACAATTAGATTCCTAAATCCTGGCTCCTATTGCAATTTGCCCGTGACATGCTAAACAATAGTTTTAAATAATAGATTATACGACCATAAATCAGTGAGGAACATGGATGTACCAGTTACTCAAAAAGAAAAAAACAAAAACCTTTACATGATCAGAAAGATCCCTTTGTGTAGTGTTTTGAGTGAACTTTCCTCACTCTCCTGTTATCTTTTCTTTGTATCCCTATCTCTTTTCAAGTCATCATCAACTTTTGCCTTCACTTCACAGAGGTGAATCTCTTTCTGTTGGCAAATCTTGAGGCACCCTGAGCAATATCATTGGTGGAAGAAAGTGTAAGTCCCTGAAGTTACTGTTACAGAATCAGTCTGGTCTGGTGGTGACAATGAAAAAAAAAGTTGAACTCCACTTCCCCCTTCCAAAAGCTTTGCCAATGAGGTAATCTTTTCGGGGAGAGGATCTATCCCTTAAACAATAATATTGCACAATATGTATATTTTAAAGTTAAACAACAAAAGGCATTACCTGGTTGGGATCCTAAAGTCTACATTGGGTCCCAATTTATAAGCCACTTGTAGAGACGTGGAGCCCACCACTCTCTGGATAATTCCTTGAGAAGCAGCTTTTTCTATTTGGAACTGAGAAATCAGGTCAAAGCCTACAAGAAATAATATACATGTCCAGAATATAACTTTAATTTTAATTTAACTACAGTATTGTGCTGTCACAGAGTTGAATACAATCTGTTAAAGTTTCTGAACTGCAGCTTTTCCCTGAAAAAGTTGGGATGCTACTTGCCTGGTAAATCATCCTGGCCAATCCTGATTGTTGGGCAAAGATCAATTCTCTGACTGGCACCCAGAATGACTGGTAATCCTGCAAAAGAAAGTGATTTTATTAACCATGTGCCTGCACATTGCCTCAGATCACCTTAAAAGATTAAGTGAAACAAGTGTAAGAATATTATGAATTAAATAGAACTATAAATAATAATAATAATAATAAATAGATGTATATAATAATAACTTTAAACTGTACTCAGTGAGTCAGAGGTCTAAGAAAATAATCTGTTTCTAGAGCACCCCAAATTTAAAACTATAACTTGACTGATTATTCGATTTTTTTTTTTTAAGCCTTTGAATTAGAGGGTTATAATTCTTCTCTAGCAGAGCAATGGAGGAATAGTTGTAGCACAAGAAGGCCTGCTGTGTAAGGAGGTTTTGGTCTGGAACTTTTGGTGGTTTAAGCAAACTTTGAAAAAAAAAGTGAGTTACCTAAATCAACAGTCTCCCTAGTCCCAAGGAAACTTAAACAAACCTCATGCCAACTAAAGAGGCTGTTGAGAAACTGTTGGCATCTTTTCCATCCTCTCTGGTATTCCAAGTGTTCCCACCTTCCTCTGGGCCCCATTTGATCAGAGAATGATCATTCATGAAATGTGTGGGGGGAAGAGGGGGGCAAGAAGAACTTACAGACCTTTTTTGTTGACTCAAACAAGAATGTATAAGAAATTTGTTTGATTAAACCAAATTTAAAAAAAGTAATTGTCTGTCAAAAAGCCTTGTAATTAGCATTAAAACCTACAAGATTCCTCTAATTTAAGAAAGGAGGAAGGAAAAATAAATATTTATTTGAAGAATTTGAGTCCTGTACAAGTCCAGTGTCAGGTCAATCTGGAGAATGTTAATAGAGTCTGGAGGGGGAAGAATGAAGCGTGCAAGTTGGAAGGAGATGCGTTTCTAACCTACAGAGAGCCTCTTGTGTGCTGCAAGGGCCCAACCATAAATGTGGGTTTCCTTCTGACAACATAGACTTAAAGGGAACATTCAGGTTGATAGGTTACACCTTAGAAACTGCCTCATTCTATATTATTTAATGAGATATATGGCTGACAACCAACCATTTATACTTTATGCCCAGCAAATAAAGTGGATCCAGTTGTTGCTACAGGTAGCAGAAGGAGATCTAGCTAGTTCGTGTCCCATATCTACTATGCACATTCAGATTTTAATCCTTATCATAAATATGTATCTAACAGTGAGCTTAAAATACACACAGCTCTTGCTTTTCATCCTCTTTCTCTTATACATACATACACCCATACATACACACAAACAATTCTCCCTTTCTGCGATGGCTAGCTAGAGAGGATTTTAATTTTGAATAAGCTTGGAATAATTATTTTGACAGTCAAAATTACAGAAAGATGAAATGCAGATAAAGTCTTTCTCCTTACTGGATTGGTGCTGGATGGTGGCTGAGATGAAAGACCACAGAAAACTCCACACGTAAAAGAAAGCTGTAATTTTCCTGTAAACAGAAAGAAAACTCCAGTATGAATGTATAGTTTCTGACAGATTCTGTTACTGACTTTCTCCTCAGAGCCGTGCAGATTAAATGTATAAAAACCTGAGTTAAGGATTTACTAAAAGATTTGACAATTACTTTACATGAGAACTTTTAATCTTTGCCTTGTGATAAAACATGTTAATAAAGTTCTTTCTATTACCATTTCCTTCATATAATGCTGTCATAAAAGCAAACAACAGAGGTGGAAGCTGGCAAGGACAGGACAGCTTTAACTGTTCTAATCTCTTAGTTACAGATTTCTCGAAATCCCACTTGTTCTCTTACCAGTTGCTTTTCATCTTCACTGCTGCCTTTCTTCACTTCTCTCACGTGAAGACGTGGTGTCTATAGTCACAGTCTCTGCTTCCCTCTCATTAGTCCTGTCAGAGGGAGCAGCAGTGGGTGCAGACAGCTCCTCCTGCCCAGGCAGGACCCAGCAGAGAGGGAGGTGCAGGTTGCTGGGGCCGTTTTATTCTTGCAGAGGGAAGGAGGTGGAGGCTGCACAGACATGTGTGTCCTGGTGGGCTCTGAGGGCGGATCTCTGCAGCCAGTTCAATATAAAGAAGCCAAGAGAGCAAAGAAAAGGCTGCTGCTTGTGCCAGCATCAGGGCAAGGAGGTTAAGAAAATGTGCGTTGAGGGATGGCAGTCACTGAATGGCCAGGTCTGCTGTTCAGCCAGGCAGATGAAAGAGTAATA